CCTCGAGCTCCACGACGGCAGGTGCCATGGCCATTGTATCTGACGATGCTTATCCAGCACCTAGAACAGGGCCTGGCCCACAGCAGCTGCTCAGTTTATATCGATTTAATGAGTGAGGCAACGCGGGGAGTGTGCCGGGCCATGTTCCAGGCACCCGGCACACACCCACCGGGCACCTGCCACGTGCCCTGCGCTGCCCTCTCGCCTCCCTCCCTCCCTCCCGAAGGCCTTCCCTGGTCCACAGCCGGGCCAACGCTCTTCTCTGCCCCTAAATGTGCCAGAGCCTAAGAAACACCCTGATTCCAAGCTTTAACCCTCCAGTGGAAGGAATGCAGTCTAGAGATACATTTTGTCTCTTTTCAGTGCTACGCTCTCAAATTTAAAACAAAGAAGCTTTGTTGCTGTTTTAAACCTTGCCCCCCTCTTCGTATATTCAGCGTCCTATTAATATCCTACAGCAGCTCATTACGAACCATATGCTTTACCATGGAAACCTTTTTTCCCCACTGAGAGACACACGTGATGGCAAGGATCCCATGCAAGATAGCCCCCAAGTTTACCAATCAAACCCCCCAAATTCTCAGTAGGAAGAAAAGCGTAACAGCCACGTTCCCGGCATGCGCATGAGAAGAGATGCTCACGTTGCTCAGGGAGCAGCGATTCTAGATGCACCCTAAGCTTCCTTGGAGTGGACAGGGGTCTCGATGAGACAGGCTTTGTGCTCCGTCTGCTTCCATTCTTTCCTCTTTGGCTTTAGAAAGTGTATTAACATGCAAATGAGTGATAGAGATGCAACCTTATGTTTGAGCTTATTTATTTAAAAAGCTAAACATTCTCAAACGTAAGGCAAGCCAAGCTGCATTAGAGGAGCAGGTCGGCTGGGCGGCTGCCAGGGCAGCCCTCTGGAAAGGCCCTAAAAACCTTCCTGGAAATGCAGGGGGAGGGAGAGAACTGAGATTCCCCGAAGCCTTCGGAGGAAAGAGGCGTTCAGTGTTCAGGCTGAACCTCAAGAGTTTCTCCCCGGATCCTATCTTAACTCCCCTCAGAGTGCACCGCAACAGTGATCGCTTCCCCGACTCCAGGGTGCCGCCCAACCCCAAACCCCATCACCTCTCTCTTGGACGCGTCTTCTGCTTCCTAACTCCCTCCACTCTGGCTCCTTTCACAGCCCGTTTCCCACCCAGCAGCTAACGCCGTCTCTCAAAAGCTGAAAAGCACATGCCAGTTCCCTGCTCCAGCCCACCAAATGGTTTCCCATCAAACTTAGAAAATACATCCCAAGTTGTTACCAGGGTCCCCCAGGCCCTCTGTGGCCGCTGCCTTCTCCCCTCTGCCCTCAGCCCCCCTTCAGTGCCTCAGGCCCTTCTGCTCTTTCCAGAACAGGCCGGTGTGACTCCGCCCTGGAGAGGCTCTCGCCCCACACTCGTTCCTTCACTTTGTCCCATCTTTGCTCAAATACCGTCTCCTTGAAGACGCCATTCCAGGCTACACGATCTAAAAATCTCTCTCCACACTCTGTCCCTTTATGCTACTTTATCTTGTGTTAGAAACTTGATCATATTATGTGTTTATCTGTTTACTGTCTGTCTGCCCCACTTGGAAACGCCAGCTCCAGGAAGCCCTCCTCACTGCAGTCTCCCCAGCCCCCAGGGCAGTGCCCCGCACAGCGGGGCTGCTGAGCTAACAAACCTGGAATAACAACGCAGTTAGCTGCCTGGCTTGCGTTTGCTGGGTGGTGTCTGGAGAGTTGGGGCCAGAGCTGAATTGCGGGGGAGGGGAGGGGAGGGGAGAGGAGCAGGACGGGCACAGCTGCCCTCTTGCTCTGGCTTCCCCTGTGCAGCAGCCCCTCTTCTAAGGAGAATCTTGTTTGTGGCAGACGCTGCTGGCTCCCTGCCCGACACTCCTTTACCCTTCCTCCCTACTGTCCGATGCTAAGTTTATTTACGCTTGCCTGGTGCCAACTTAAGATGCTCCCCTCTCAGGCTCCCTGACAGCTAGGAATGGCCCTATGACAAACGTGGCCAAGTAAGGTACACTCAGAAGCCACCGAGTGAGGCTCACTCAGGGGATGAGCTCAATCTAAGCACCTTCTCACCTTTCATCTTACACCCTTTGCCCTTTCTTCTTCCTGCCGGAACTGGGACAGTGTCTAGTGATTTGCAGGCCAGCCTGACGAAGGCTACACACAGAAGATGGCAGAATAGAAAGACCGATGGAGCCTGGGTCCCCGAGAGGGGACAGCATCCCCGGACTGCCTGCCTCCAAATGTCCTGATGCGTGAGAAGAGCAATCCCCTGTTTGGCTAAGCCGCTCGTGGGCACCGCTTTGGGCATCTGAGAGCAGTTCCAACTTCTGAGAGCCACAGAGTGCTGACCTTCCCCAGAGCCCTTGTGTCCCAGTTCAGCCCAGTGAGTAAATATTACATAAGGCGCCATCTCACAGCAGACGGAGACACTCCAGGGAGGCCGAGACACTGAATAAAGTCTGAACCAACACACACACACACTCACACTCACACACACACACACTCACACACATACTCACACACACACACTCACACACTCACACACACACTCACACACCCTCACACACTCACACACCCTCACTCACACACCCACACACTGACTCACACTCACACACACACACTCACACACCCTCACACACTCACACACTGACTCACACTCACACACACTCACACACTCACACACACTCACACACACACTCACACACACACTAGCTCAGACAACCCTGAGCCATTATAATTTGGGACAAGTGAGAGGAATCCTGAGAAGAGCAGAGACCGTATCTTTGAACTACCTTTCCTGGCAGGAGAATTTTACTGTCATTTTGAAGGGGGGTGAGGCTGCATGTTGGGAGGGAGCTTCTAAAATTAGGACCTTGACATTCCCAGCATTGGCCACCCCCCAACCTCTGTGAGGATAGTTGGAAGTGAGCACATCTGCTCTTTCAGGGTCCTGTATAGGTTTTGATCCATGTTGCCAATGTCAGAGGGTGAGCTGATGTCTGCATCAGGGAAGAAAAAGCATAGATCTGTGCTGGCTGTTATGGGCTGAATGTTTGTGTCCCTTTGAATTTGTATGTTGACTATAACCCCCAATGTGACAGTATTTGGAGATAGGGCCTTAAAGGAGGGCATTTAGACTAAGTGAGATCATCCGGGTGGGGCCCTAATTGAGTGGAATTGGTGTCCTCATAAGGAGAGGAAGAGAGACCAGGGCCCTCCCTCTACTCAAGCACTGAGGAAAAGCCCCGTGAGGACACAGCCAGAAGGCAGCTGTGTCCTTACCAGCTAGAAAGATTGTTCTCACCGGAAACTGAATTCCTGGCACCTCGATTGTGAATTTCTAGCCTCCAGAACTGTGAGAAAATAAATTTGTTAAGCCACCAGTCTGTAGTCTAGTATTTTGATATGTCTGCCCGAGCTGGCTACTACAAATCTGTATTGAGCAAAACAGACCTTACCAAAAAAAGAAAGAAAAAGGCCAAAGGTTTAATGCTTTTTGCCTAATATCTTCAAGCTTCCTGAACCTTCTCAAAATCAAAGCTGAAGTCATTGATGTTACTGGAGCAGACATAGAGCACAGCCCTGGAAATGTTTCTAGTTTGTTTGTTTTGTAAAATAGAACATTATGAGGAAGGGCAGGTGCTTCCACCATTGATTCTTTGAGGCGAGGGCCTCAATAAGTATTTGATGACTTAGTGAATGAACAAATGAATGAGTGAGCGCACAGAGGGCCACAATGGCGCTTTCTGTGCGCAGGGGAAGGAGGCAGAGTGACCCTGGCTCATGGTTCTAGAGGATGTGGAATCACAGACGTGCTCAGGACAGCCAGGAGCGGAGGTGTCTGTGCTAAGGAACAAATGGATTCCTGAAAAGCTGTTGCAAATGGATTTGTATTTTGAATTAATTAGATAAGGTAAATTGACAAAGTCAAGAGACTTCTCTTGGAAGGTGGGCACTAACCCCTCCCCCCCAAATCCAGCTTCCTGACTGGGAGGGATGGGAGAGCATTTGTGCTCATCAAGAACTTCAGCATTAATTTAAAAAGAAGGAAAAGAAGGAAAAAGGGCCCCCAAGATGATCTAAGCCCCTCGTTTTACGGGCGAAGGTCCTGGGGCACCCAGAGGGGAAGTGACTTGCCCAGGGTCACCCAGTTCAGCTAATATGCGGTGGGTGTGGTCGCCTGACTCCCAAGTCGAGAGCCTTTCCACCAACCCCTGAGAGTCTTTGAGGACTGAGAAGGCAAAAGGTTGCTCCCTCCGCGATGGCCTCCTTGCTGCCACATAAAAACGGTTCCAACAATTCACTTCTACGACATTCACTTCTGCTATTTCTGTTGTGTTGTTGTTAACATTGTATTTTTCAAAATACTTTACTGCTGTTTAAAGCCATCTCTCGCCAGGAGGAGTGGTGTTCTAAAGCCAGGTCACAGATCGCCTTTGTCTGGCCTCAGGGAGACGCTCAACGCTGGTCACTGTTCCCCGATCCTCCTGGAACCTCCCTCTGCTCCCCTGGCACCTGGCAGCCTGCTCTCCCCAGGGCCTCTTGAGTGGGCACCTCTCTCTGTGATCGCTCTTCTTGGAGGTGGAGACCCACTGTTTTTCTGTTTCAGACCTGACTGTGGTCTTCCCCCC